AAAAAAAATAAAATATTTGGATTATAAGTTATGAGTACAAGGACAAAATCTTCCACTATATCTTGATATGCTCAGATTGTAATTGAGAAATATCCTGTAGGGTCTGAAAGTTGGCTCAGCACATTTTGGTCATTGTTGGGTAAGTTGCACTCATGCATTTATTTTATTCATAGAGTTTTTGTTTACTATACACATTATATTTAATATGATGAACTTGATCTGAGGCTAACATAAGTCTTTTACACCTACTCTGAGACTGTTAGGCTACTTCTTCCAAGAGAACATAATTGGATCGTCCCTTCGAACGTCATATTATTGTGTTTCAATGTATTTCCTCTGCAGATTACCATAGAGAAAATGAAGGAGAAATTTACTGAGCAGAATGAAGAGGCATCTAACAAATACTGCCATGCTGAGCTACAGAAGTTATCAGAGACCTTGACGGAAAATATTTCAAGAGGAGTTTTCTCTGTTCCTAGAGGACACAGCCTCTACTTACAAGCAAAGAAAAAGATTGAACAAGCTTATGGACAAGTGCCCAGAAAAGGAGTTAAGGTGAAGAATAAGGAAAAAGGGGGAGGGAGTCAGCTGGAAACTGGTGGGAGTATTTTTTTATTGTTTTAATATTTGGCATTTTTATTTATTTTAATCTGAGACTACAACAGAAACATTGGGAAGAAACATAACATTATGATTCCTTGAAATTTTCAGTCTTCTAGACATAATTAGTTAGAAATTCTTAAAGAAATCACCAATATTTTTTCCCAGTGAAAGCAATTAGAATCAAGGTTTCAGATGACGAAATGATTTTCATATTCCAAACAATGTGATCATTATATGTTAAGTGTCAAAATCAAAGTAGATGCATTTAAGTTGACTCTGACCCTTGTGGACCACAAGTATACAAAAAAATATGGGATCTTTTCTAAATTGTTGTTGTTGTTATGTGCCGTTGAGTGGCTTGCGACTCATAGCGACCCTATGTACAACAGACCTAAACTCCGCTCTGTCCTGTGCCAATCGCACTGTCTCTGACACTCCCATCCCGATTACCCCAGTCACTGAATCAATCCACCTCATACAGGGCCTTCCCCTCCTGCGCTGTCCCTCCACCCTACTAAGCATGATGTACCTCTCTAAGGACCTGTCCCTTCTTACAACATGCCAAAGTATGTTAGACAGAGCCTCAGAATCCTTGCCTCCAAGGAGCAGCCTGATTTAACCCTTTCGAGGATGAATCTGTTTTCTTAGCAATCTGTGGTACTCTCAATACTCTTCTCCAGCATCACAGCTCTGAGGCAACAATTCTCCTTCTATTCTCGTTAGTCATTGTCCAACGAACCATAGTGATCCTATGAACCACACATATAACTGCTCAATCCTGTACCATCCTCACAATTTCTAACATAATCAAGCCCATTGCAGTAGTTACTATATCAATTCATTTGGTTGAAAGCCTTCTCTCTTTTGTTGACACTCCACCTTTGCAAGCATTATGTCCCTCTCCAAACAATAACCTCTCTGACCAACATGCCTAAAGTATGTGAGACAAGCTTTATAATCTTTGTCTTCAAAGAGTAACTGTGCTTTCTCCAAGATAACATTTGTTCTTTTGGCAATCCATGGAAAGTCTGGTACTCTTCTTCAACACTGCGACTCAAAGGCACCAATTCTTCTTCTGTCATCCTTATTCATTTCAGCTTTCAGATACAAAGGAAGGGATTGAAAAGACCAAGCTTGAATCAGGCATGCTTTAGCACTCAAACGGACATTATTTTTCCTGAGTAATTTGAAGAGTTCCCTGACTACAAAGTTTCCTAGTGCAATACATATTTCCTGATCTCCTGACTGCTGGTACCAAGGGTGTTGATTGTGGATCCAAGTTATATTAAGTTGTTGACAGTCTCAATATTTTCATCATCTATCAGGATGTTCCCTATTACTCCAGTGGTGAGAATTTTTATTATCTTAATATTCAGATACAAACAGATATGTCTTGGAAAAGGTGCAACTACAATGTTCTTTGGAGGCAAGAATGATGAGGATTCACTTCACATAATTTGAGCATGTTGATAGGAGGGGCTGTTCCTTGGAGAAGGATATGATGCTAGAAAGGGTGCAGGTTGGCAAAGGAGAGGAAGACCTTCAAACAGGAGGATTAAAACAGTGATGGCTGCAATGGACTCTCGTGTATCAGGAAGTGTGAAGATGGCACAGGATAAAAAAGGTTCAGATCTTTTGCTCATAGGGTAGCTATGAGCCATACTCATCAGCATCTAACAACAACAATCTTTGATTCTTGTTTCTTTAGGGGGATGAGGTCCTCCAGAGATTCCTGCAATCTCAGGTGACAATAGAGGAATCCATCCTGAATGCAGACAAAGCACTAACTGTTAGAGAGAAGACCTTAGCAGGTACAGAGGCTAGGCTCAGGCCTTAGCAGGGCAGGGCAGTTCCTGCTTGGCTTGCGATTAAAACTGTGATAAAAACAAATCCTGTAATAATAAACTTCCTATCTTTTTCTTTCACATTTTTATTTTCACTTCTGGAAATAACTAGTGAACCTATGGTTTTACATCCAACACACAGGCAGGGCCCTTCTGATTGTGTTCTGAAGTATCCTGAGGAATATGGAGACTGCACTTTTCTGTTTTATTTTAATTGGTTTGCTTAAAAAAATAATATACATTGTCTTTAACATTATTCTTCATTTACATGTATTTCATACAATCATTCTCATGCCTTATGTTTTTTTGTTTGATTTTTTAATTCTACTATAATCATAGAGTATGTTTTACAAAATTAATCACCATTGGACCTTGCCTATCATTACCCTGTATTTTCACTCAGCTCCTTCCCATTTCCTTGCCCTCTCCCTCCACCCACCAAACTGTACAATCATGTTTGTTTGCCCCCACCCATCCCCACCTCTCTGCTCAAACCCCTTCCCCCCTTGGGCTCCCATATATGTTCTATTAGTTACTCTTCTACTGTTACAATGATGGTCTTGTGCAGTATTTATCCTTATGAGACTGAATTAGTTCACTCAGCTTAATGTTCTCCAGTCTCTCCCCGGTTATGCATTCTCCTTTTTTAAATGTCACATTGATCACAGAGCTCAGGAAGACAGAGCTCAGACCTGACCTATTATTTTCTTTTTGGATAGTGGAACAGGCCAAGATGGTGACAGTTGAGAAGGAAAATGAGCTGCTGAGACAGAAACAAAAGGAGCAGCAGCAGCAGATGGAGGCTCAAGAAAGGAGCTTAAAGGAAAATATAGCACAACTGGAAAAGAAGATGAAGCAGGAGAGAGAGTATCTTCAGAAAGAACAGGAAAGGATGCTGGATCATAAACTGAAAGTAAGTCTATTCTGGTCTTGATCAATGGCTGAGGGACAGTAGTCAGGTACCTAAGGAAAGGATGGGTCAAATTTGAAACAGATCATAGTTACCAAGGGAAATACACCAAAGTAACATCTGGAACTTGTCTGAGTCCTGCTAACATCCTTAAATGTGCTAAACTCTAGCCCTCTTTTTTTTTTTTTTTAGATATAGACCCTGGAAATAGCTAACAACATCCCCTTAGCATGATTTGTCCTTGGTTCTAACTCTGGAGTAGTATCATTGTCCCCCTACTAAAAGACGGTCTTAGTCCAATACTCCTTAGAATTCTTGGTACCACATCAAAGAGACCCAAAGAGATCTATCAGGTCTTCAAAACAGTAGATTTGGTAGATACGAGAATGGATGTGAAAGCTGCTTTTGTTTCCAAATCCATTTGAGTCAACCTATGCAATTTTTAAGCCTATGTAATTATCAATTTTTAAGCCTATGTATTATAAGAAGTTTGTGACAGAGGGTCAGCAGTGCCCATGATTTGTTAGATGTGTGTGACCCTGCTCCCTGATGGGAAATTACAATGCAAGTAAAATATCGAAGAGCATCTGTTGGGCTGCAATGCATTACAACTTGGACACACAGGTGGCCACTCTTCATGAGATGGTGGTGAAGGCACATTAGGAAGTTTATAAGTCTTCAATATAGTCTACATACAGTTTTAAATATATGGAGAGAGCTCCTTACTCTGGACAGAAACAGACATAAGTGCTAATAATTTTTAACATTGCTAAATGTCATATCATGACTCTTGATAACTGCAACTTCAAAAGTTACTCTTTCTTTTTTATAGGTCCAACGAGAACTACTGGAAGAAGGATTTAAAAACAAATCGAAGGCACTAGAACATGAGATAAATCAGCTGAAGGATGAGCTTAAAGAGGAAAACACCCCAGTCCTGAACAATTTGATTGACCTAGCTAAGGAAGCATTCACATTATTATTATCTCCTTTTGTGAAACTATCAAACAAAAAATAACATTCTCACTTCAGGTGAAAAAGAAAAGTTAGAATGGCTTTAGGAAAACTAGAAAAGTAAGTTTGTTTGGTTTTTTTGTTTGTTTGATAGTTACTCATTGCTTTAAAAAGATATAATCCACATTTCCTGAAAGAAACATTTATAAAAAATTTTAAATGAAAGATGAAAATGTTTGCATACCACAAACTAAATTGTAATTTAGCTAATTAAATAAATTGAAACAAGAAGAAGGACATGAAGCCATTCATAGAAAGGTAAAAGCAAAGTAGTCACAGATGCAAATGTGACAGACATGGAAATAATGTTAGACTTTTATAACCTCTTAAGATTAGTGATAAAAATAGCTAGCAGCCCATTTTTTAAATAAACAGAGAAAAAAATAAATTGAAACCGAGAAAAAGTAAATTAAAACACTGTACTTTACTCTTACCATAGAAATTTCTGTAAAACAAAATTATGAGCTAGTGTTTTGTTTCTAAGAATGCCGAGCAAAACGTTTCATATAGGATGTTGAGTTAGCAAGTGCTTAGGTAAACAGATGTGTTTCGAATTTGCTTGTAATAGTGGAAACTGGTGACTTTATACATCAAAATGTCAAATGCAATATACCTGTGGTTCAGCAAGTCTATATACAGGAATTAGTTATAAATTTATTTACCCAGTAGAAAATGACATATGTTTGAAAAAATACCTGTTGCAGCATTGTTTTAGTGCCAAATGAGTGAAATAAACATAAACACTATATAACACAACTGTGAAAAGGAACTCATCTTGTTCTAGCATGGGAAAATATCCAAGATTTATCTTAACATGGAAAATAAAAAGATGTATAAAATGTTTATACTTGTTTCCACTGAATTAACCAAATTATGAAAGTGTGTATATAATATTACATATCTCAGGAAAAAGACACAATAAACACAAAGCCAGGGATAGACCTGAGCAGTTGAGCTGAGAACGTAAGATAAGTAAATTTACTTCATGAATTTTGTGCTTCTTAAATTTTATAAAGTATCAATCTGCTACTGCTTTTTATAAAATAAATAGATGCTAAATGAAGGTAACAATATGGAATGGTTTTGGAGTCTGATACTCAGCTTGGAAACTGCCTCAGGAACTAATACTGCTGAGCCTGCAGTTCTTATTCTGGCCCAGAAGTCATCAGCCTTAAAATCTAGTGCCGAAGGCCTTAGGTCATTGCTACAGCTGCGGATGAGCCAGCCCCCTACCCAGACGGACAGCAGACTGCTTGCTGAAACCCACTAACTTCTGAATCTCCTGAGCCTGCACTCACTGTCCTGGCCCCGGATACAGTCAGCCAGCAACCTTCTTCCACGGCCTGGGTGTAGAGCGAGATGTGGCAGGGGTGTGTGCTTCTGTTGAGCTCAGAATAGGACAGGGTTTAGAACTATTTCGTATAGAGTCGCTATGAGTCACAGGTGACTCGATGGCACATGACAACAACAA